GCCTGAAGGGTTGCTGCGCATTCGTTTATTTTCATAACTGAAGCTGCACTGCCCAGTCAGATCTCTTAACGCGAGTGGACCCTCCATTACCTCATGCAGCTTGTAGAAAAAGTGTGCAGAATTAAAACTGTGCAGAAAAGTACTGGAATCAGTACTCATCACCAGGCAGAATACTTGGTTTAATGTGTTTTGCATGTTTATTTTGTTGATTTTAGTGGTTTAGGTTTTCTGCTTGTTTTATTTCATTTTTTCTTTGTTTAAAAAATTGATTGGTATGTTTACCCTGCTAGATTTAATTATTGAATAATTTCGCTTTCTGAGTAGCATGACAAAAGGCTGCAAGAACTAACTTGCAGGTTAGGACATTTTGGTGGCTGTAATTTGGAGCTTCAGGCCTGAAATACAAGTAACATAAGAGAGACGAGCACAATGGACACCAGAAAGACACCAGAGTGGTATGCCAGAGGATCAGCTGTGCTGCCATGGCTGCCGACTAGAAAAAGAGGTCCAAAGCTTCAGCCGGCTCTTGATTAACCTGTTCTGTCTACTTGCACTGCAACTAGTGTCAGGACAACAAGAGTTGCAAAGGGCCATTCCAGATAATTGGAATACTTTTAAAATATTTTTTCCTAAGGTCGGGTTTGAAAGCATTCAACTGTTTTTGTTGGTTTTTGTCGCTTCTTTTTTATTTGAAGGTACTCCTGTTTTAATTGGTTATTCTTATATTTACTGTGGGGTAAATGAAATACATTTTTTCCTAAAACATACCAAAAATCAGGCTGCACTCACACTAGTCACAGATATTTAATCTGTTACAATGACTTTGATGTGTTTTTATTGGACCTGCAATGCCCGTGTTTCATAACCGTGTTGTTTTGTACAGACTGTAGAAACATGGACAAACTAGTCCATGTTTCTACTTCACTACGGAGGTTGAAAAATATAAAAGCTTACCAGCCTGAAAGTGACATTAATAGGACTGGTGTCCACTCATTTTCTCCCTCTGCTGAAGAGATGATCCACATGTCTTTATTAAGGATTTCAGCAATTCTGAAGTCAAATTAATTAGCAATAATCCTGAAGACTGGCTACAGCAACGTCCAATTTGGTGACAGAGCCAATGCACAACAAATTACA